AATTCCCCCTCACATATGGTCCGTACATTCAATCTTTCCTTTCCCACTTCATTAAAGTCAGTGTGTGTGTGTGTGTGTGTGTGTGTGTGTGTGTGTGTGTGTGTGTGTGTGTGTGGATGATAACCACCTCTGCAGGAGGAGAAGAGTACAGACAGAGAGTGATCGAGAAAAAGGCAGAAATTCAGATTGAGTCTTGTGTGTCTGACAGCTGTGAAGCCTCATGACCCAGTGTGAAGCCAAAACTGCTTGTTGTAAATAGCACAAAAGCACATCTCCATGCCTGCAGTGTGTCTCTGTGTGTGTGTATATATATGCATCCCGCTGCCATGGTAACACCACAAAATTCTCCTGAGCGGGGCAGATAGGACCAGAAACTGTGAGACCATGAGTGTGTTTACAGTTCAGGTAAACGGTGTACTGTCCAAGACAGCCTCAGTGTTCAACAAAGTTACGGAAAGTTCATTTTGAAACTAAATACTTACTCCTCTTTGTTACTTGACATGAATAATAACAAAGTTCTTTACTACTGGTAAGTTATGTATTTTTCCATTTCCCTACATCTAACAGGAACAGGAGCTCTGTTGAACTGTACTTAGGCACAGCATTTCTTTGTCCTAAATGCTAACTTTAGCATGCTAAACAGCATGTATGGCTGCAGATGTATGGTTATCTGTATAGCTATGACTTAAATACCGAATCGAATAATAAAAATAATTCCTATCTGCTGTACTGTTGATATGAAATAAAATAAAATCAAACATTTTTCAGTTTTGAGTTTCCAAATCACATGCAAAGCATGCTGACCTGAGACTTGTGGAAAGTACTGTTTATGTGAAGGGTCAAATGATTCAGCAAATAAAACAACTCCACTGTATGTAAGGACATTTGCTTTTATACCCTACTGACAATGGTGACCAAGCTTACAAAAGAAGTGAAAAAAAAATTGACATTTGAAATACTAAGTGGCCACATTAAGTAAAGAAGCAATACATTAAATAAAATGTGGCCAAAGAAATCTGTGCACTGTGCTGTGTCACACCAGCCACTCGTCTTCCACTGTGAACTCATCTCAGTGTGCGGTACTTTTAAACAGATGTTGACTGAATTTCTTATTGACTTTCTCTGTTGAGTGTCCCAGAACACACAGTGCAGAGAAGATTTGTGTCACAGCAATTTGCATACTAAACAAAAGCTATAGAGACTTTAAAAAACCTGCACCTATTCCACAAGCATTTCCCATAAGTGACTTCAGAGTTGCATAAACTGTCTGAATGAAGTGTTAAGAGATTTTTATTGTGTGTGTGTGGGTTGGAACAGATGGACTGGTGTGTAACGGGAATGCTTTTCTCCAAAGGCACACTGCAATATGTTAAAATGCTCCACTACCACTGGATGACTTTCTTTTTCAGGGGCAAGTCCATGGCATTTAGATCTGGGGCCAAACAGGGGCACAGACTGAGAGGAGAGGAGCTGGTATTTAACAGAGGATTCAACATTGGTGTCATTTAAATTTAGTTATTTTCCTATAAGGTGACATGTTCTTGCTTCAGTAATAATGCTGTGTCTGTCCTATGAGAAATCAGGGGAGCAGTTGAAGGCAAAAATGCACTGCCATCTATCCTTCAAATTAAAATCTGTTGCTTTTTACTGAAAGAAAAGTGCAATGATTTTGTGGTTGGCAACAGACTTGACATTAAACAGCAAACAAGCACAAAATCCATCGAGGCCGACAGCATGTTTTCACAGTATTATTTAGAACAATTTTCATTTCAATATACAGTATGTATCTTAGTATGCTGAAGCCTTGATCAAATGTTCTAGTCAAGATTTTCCTAATCAGAACAGTTATTTAGATTGACAGCTGTAATAAATGACACTAAATTCACAACCACCATGAAAACTTAAACTAATTATTTCACTTAGAACAAAAATTCAGAGTCAGAACTGTCTGCCTTGCCAAAACAGCTTTCACTGTAGTGGTCTAAATGTCTTTATAAAAACAACAACAAGGTCAAGAATATTCAGCAGTAACTCAGCCATGCCTCATCCTCTTATGCCTCTCTGTCTCTCTCATACAGACAATAGAAGCCAGTCATAGCAACAGATAAAGGTCACATCCCATAGCTTCTGTTTAGCTTCCATCATTTTGCCAGAGCTAATGCATCTGAAGAAATGCCACACTAATGCCAGATACACGTTTCACAGCACCATGCTGGTTTCCTTTTGTCCATTTGTTGCAAAAATAATGACAAAATAAATCTGCATTAAAATTATTCAAATGGTTGTGATATTGACAGCAATACCAGGTTTTCCTGTTTTACAGTGGAGGAACCCTGAAGAAATGGTTTGTTAAACTTCAGGGGAAATGAGCAGTGAAGTTACATTACATGGTAGACCAAGTATTTAATGAGTGAGGTGATTGCTTAAACCATCCTCTATCTGTCAAGGTGAGATGCATTAGAATCTGAATGCCTATGTTTCATTTTATGTGTGCAATAGCGCTGAAACAATTAGTCAATTATTTAAATAAAATATTTTAATAACTAATTGTTTAAGTAAATTTTCGAGAAAACATTTGTTAGTTCCAGCAATTTGCCGCTACTTTTTAAATATATGTATATGATATCTTTGTGTTTTGGAGTGGTGGTCAGCCAAAACAACATAACATAGCAGGATAACTGAATACACTATAAAGTAGCCTATTTGCTTTGTCTGCCATCCCCTCAGAATGAAATGAAAGCAATAAATGCAGAACTGATAATGCTCAGGCCACGCCATGGACACCCCCTTTGGCCTGTTATTCATTTACATCTTTCCTAGTTGATGATTAAAGGACAGCCCTGTTCTGTGAGCAATTCGTTAACAACTAATCAAGTTGCGATCCAGGGTTTGTTTAGTCCTCCAAGGTCTCAAATTCACACACAACAGTGCCAATAACAAACTGGAGGGAAGCGAAAGAGACAGGAAAGGAAGATTGAAGTGACCTTTCCAAAGGTTCTAAGCCATGTCTGTAAACATTTTATAGTCATGACATATCCATTGACATGGATCAACTTTTTATATAATTACCAGTATAAAAAATATTGATGGATGATATTCCCTCCTCTCATACCAACAACAACAGTTTGACATTATTTACTGCAAGACATGCTGTGAATACACCTTGTAAAGATTTATGGTAGTCTTGATGATCAGGCAAACTAAGTTCTTTGATGAGACAGGGATCAAGGTGACTTCAGGAGGGCTAACTATCTAATACATTACATCTCTGAGTCCTACACTCTCATCTCTCTCTGCCTCAGGCAGTCTGAAGGCCATTACCCAGACAAGTCCATGCAGGTATATGATCTTTTCTTTTTTATTCTTTAAATAATCAGTGGATAGGTAACAGGCCAAGCACTGCCTGCAGCATTTTAAAATGAATATTGTTAAGTTCTCCACTGGATCTAGGCTGGATGTCTCGCCCTGCCACAGTCAGCCATGAAATCAGAGTTAATTAAAAGCAAAATATCTGATTTTAATTCCATACTTCTGCTCATAGGGTGGGAACAGGAACCAAGAGGCCAAATTAGCGAGAATTGTATATCAACAGCCGGTCACATCTACATATGGCTTCTGCTGGTACAGTAGGACCACGGAGGTTTATCTAGACTGATGCAATTAGGGCTCCAAAAGAGTCGGACATGATTAGAGACAGATCCTGCAACAAGATCTGTCTCTAATTTGGGTCGCACCTACGAGAGCACTTTTCCTCTCTTATGCAAATACAATCACTATAAATGTCAAGCGATATTAAGGAAAGCTGTTGAGATGAGAGGGTAGGTTAACAAATATTCTCAATAAGCGTGCTGCTTTTAGTTGAGAGGAATTTCAGCTGAAACATGTTTACCCTGCTTCCGAAAACCTCATAAAACAACATTTATATGATAATTAACTCACGTCTCTACAATAAGAAAGTTACAAAATAATGTGCATTGATAGCTGGCCTTGTAAACAGGGTAAATCTTTAAGTTAAATAAAAGAGGGTACTTAGAGGGGAAACAAATAACTGATAACATATGGCTTCCGTCGGGGCAGAACAGAATGTTCTCGCTGCAGCAGAACCAGAGGCGAAAGACTGATCTGCACTTCAAACACCAGGTTCATTGGTTCTTTGGTGACCAGCTCCATTTAAACTACCAAACTGAGATACACAAATGCACACACAAACACAAACAGAGTCCCTAGCAGTATGGCCTCTGATGCAGGCCTGGGCCACAAAAAAAGGTAACCTTGAAGTAAAGAGAAAATGCTGTTTTTGCATTATGCATATTCAAATTTTGATGGGTTTTCTTGAAATATTTTTGTTTATTTTATCTATCTTTTGTTTTTAACAACTAGGCCACAGTGCAGGCTTGATGTTATGTTTTCACGGCTATAGTAATCCAAACACCACACCTGTCATTGTTTAAGCATTACCAGGACTTATTTTTATCGATTAATCATAATGTCTAATGTCAGAAAATTGTGAAAAAAACCTAATCACTCCCAGAACCAAAGGGGACACACTCAGTTTGCTGAACACAAGGATGATCAATTTCCAGTTATTTAAAATGGCACTTTTTTTTGCTTCATCCGTGACTAAAATGATTAAATAGTTGCATGGACTTTCTGTAATTGGATCCATCCATACCTCTACTAATTGTTTCAGGTCCATGCATGACAACAACAAAAACAATAGATGGGCTGAGAGTATTCTCTCAATTCTGGATGATGCAAACAAATAGGCCTATAGGGATGTGTTGTAAATAACAACATGGTAAACCAGCCTGTACTCCACCATGAAAACAAATGAAATGACAATTAAGAAAGAAAAAAAAAAAAGAAAAAGTAGAAGAAATTGTTGTGTTTTATATCCTCAGTAGTGTGTGTTGAATCTTTTCCAAGCATTAAAACCTAGTTAAACGGAGTTAATGCACTCTCCACTGTACATCCTCTCCTTCCCAACCTGTTTTACTTACAGCACGCTGGTGGCCAGCGGGATGTCTGCCGCCGCTGGGGCCCTCTCCAGCCCGATGTTGGAGCAGTTGACGACGCAGGACGGCTGGGGCCCTGCCAGCGCACAGCTGCAGTTAACGGGACAGGGGCTGCAGCTCCTGCCGCCGTCTCCCTGCGGCCCGGAGCCCCATGCCTCCAGGCAGCAGAGCGCCACAAGCAGACTGGAAAAGAAGCTATACCTCGGTACGCAGACGCCATGTTTTCGCTTGGATAAAGTCTGTCCATTTCCACAAGGCATAGCTCACTCACATCTCATCGCCTCTGATGGTGTAAGTCCTCTCAGTCTGGGAAGGCACAAAATACACAGAAACAACACGCGTCCTTTTTTCACGGCTTTCATGTGAGGAGACAAACACAGAAGAAGGGACGGACTTTTTGACACCGTTATGTCCCCTGTGTTTTCCTCAGTCTTATGGTCGGGTCCCCTTCCTCTGAAAATCTAACGGAGCTTCTCCAGAATCCTTTTCAGGGGAAAAAAAGTTTTGGAGAACTTCCTCTCTCCTCCTCCTTCTACTTCATGCAGTTCCCTGAACCACCGCTGAGACCTGGCACACAGCTTTGTTGCTTTATTAGGGCATTAAATATCCCAATATTATCCTCTACTGCATTTGCATTAAATATCAAATAGCCTAAACGATAGATAATTATCGGAAATGAAATTTGTTCTTGTATTAAATAAAAAGTATTAATTATTTCTATTTCTGTTGAAATAGAAATAATTCCAAAGAGGAAAATTAAAAAAATATCCATATTTAATCAAGTCTACATAATAATATTTGTGGTCTTCTTTCTGTCATCATAGTCGGGGTTGGATTAACCTGCTAGGGGATAAAACACACACATTTATTTAGGAATATATAGGCTATCATTTAAATTTGTCTGGTAAGACAGACAATGATGCGAAGGCCCATTTCAGTTGATGATCTGCTTTAGTGTTAATGTTCCCAAACACATTTCTAGGTAATAACAAACTGATTACTTTAGAAAGTGACATCCAACTGATGGGCTCCTGGGGCCCTGAGGGTCTGGTCCATTAAATCATGGAAATATCAATGCTCAACCAAGATGATAATGGACATGGAAATAAAATGAAATATTTTTCACTGGTTATAATCACAAGCTTTGTTGTCATATAAAGACACTGTTGATGTCTTTATATACTATAAGTCTTTCTGAGGTTGGTGCAGGGGCCAGATGAGGGGACATATCCAGGGCTTATATGTATATTTCAACAATTTAGTTCAGCTCTTTCTTCTCAGCTCATCTTCAGAAGTGTCTTGGAGAGGTGATGGAGGTTTTTCACTTGGCAGGCCTCTTTTGATGTTTCTCAGAAAGTCTATCTCTGGGCAGCCAGTGTTACTTAAAAGGCTCAGCATGAGGTTGAGCCAAGCGAACACAAAATCCCTTTAAACTCAATTTACATCAAATTAAATCAGTTAAGCACACTAATGCTTTAATTTTGCCAAAGCAGCATGAAGAACCCCAGTTCATACATGTTTGTCTATCTCTGCAGAGGAGAAGCTGTGTGTCGGCTGAGGAAAGCTGTACAGTATTACCAAAACCTCCACTATGCATGCACAGGTTCTGAAATTATTTAAAAGGTAAAAAAAAAAAAGTATCACAGTACAAAATACAGAAAAAGTATAAATTCGCTGAAATAGTAAGAAGTCACTACTCAGGATTCCTTCTTCTTGAGGCTTCTTCTTGATATGATGCTGTTTGGCCTCCTTCACCTGCAGAAACTTGTCATCTCACTGAGGTACTGAAATGACACAGCTTTGCTATGATTTGTTTGTGAAATGACAGCTGCAAAACTTGATATTTTATGGCGTTTTTGGAAAAAAAAAAAAAAAAAGAATATGGTGAACACCCCCTCACCCCTCCATCTCTCTGCGGTATTTCCTGAGGCAGTGCAGGGCACGTGTTAGAGGTGTTTCCTGGGTATTTGATTTGGCCGAGGCCCACCCATCCTCCCTGCAGGCATCTGGAGCTCTGTACAAAGAAAAGAAGAGTTCCACAACGACCCTCAGACTCTCTTATCCTCATTGGCAGCATTTCACTGCCGAGTTCATATTTGAGAAGCAAAATATGTGCAAGTGGAAGAGATCAGGCCAAATAACCCAAATGCTTACATTTCAAAACGAATAACAGCCCTGCCAATGATTTCTACAATGATCAAAAATACTATGCAAGAGTACATAACAATGTTAAATTATTGATATATAGTTTTTCTCTTTTGTTTCTTCTTTAAGGTCATTAAAATCGACTTATTTCACACTGCCGTAGCCTATATATTCTGCATTAGTCTTTTGTGAAGCTGTAGGATGTTTAGTGAGAGAGTGAGAGTGAAAATTGAAACCCAAGACTCCATGTATGTCTTGTGCATAATTTATCTCCATTTCCGCAAAACTCAGGTCGGTATATTTCATATCTTTGTAAACTTTCAGATCTGTACTGCAATTAAAAAATAAAGTTTCATGGCTTTGAACAAAGAAATGTTAAATATTTCAAGAGAATATAAAAAAAACAAAAAACGATAAAGATAGACAAACATTACAGAGAAAATATTCATAGTAGCTTAAAAATTCATGTCTCTTGTTCAATATAAAAATCGTAAAATCTGACATCCTAAAATAGTTCTTATTAAAAAAATGAATATAACATTGGTAATGAGTTTTACTCTGATGCCAGTAATGATTACCATGACGTGCACATTTCATTTTGGAGCTTGTCTTTTTATTTGGTGGCAATTGTTTCACACAAATGCTAGATACTTTCTCATCAGACAGTCCTACATTTTAACTTGAGCTCTTGAACCCATGTGAAGCTGAAGTGCAGCCTTGCAGAAAGATACAGAGACACATTTACACAGGGAACTTTTCAAATATTCTTGTGTTTTTACAGTGAACAGAGACAAGCAGGGAGGGAATTTACAATTAGAGTCTCAAAGGACTACAGACCCACATTATACAAAGACGCACAGGGACTATCACCTGAGTCAAGCAAACAGAAAACCTCAGACTGGTGAGCCATCAGGGCGCTCCCTGAAGAGGAAACGTTAGTTAGTTTGCCTTGGTTAATGGATCTAATGGAATAATCTGGTGTTCTGGGAATCACGTTATTTTTTGCAGAACTCCGTCAAATGAATGATGTTTTGCCTCCTTTTGTTTTGTACCAAACAGTTTACAGCCATGCTAGTGGCTCTGTGTGGCTGTACACAGGCACAGCAGTGGTTTTAGTTAAATACAAGCATCAGCATCGTTTACAAAGCACAATGAAGGTATAATGTTGACAACGCATGTTCAATGTCTTAGCTTAGTATCTTAGGATGCTAACATTTGCTAATCAGCACTAAACACAGGGTACAGCTGAGGATCATGGGTATGAACCTAACACTATTTTACTGCAATTTCCTAATCATTAACAAAGAACTTTCCTAGAAAGAAAAATGTTTGACACAAATTATAGAGAATTAACTGAAAGTAACAAGTGAATTTAAAAATATATATCAATTATTTTCAAGGAAATTAAGGCAACTACTGTAGTTTTGCATTTGGCATTAGAGAAAAAAAAGATTTTGACGTGGTGATGGATGGACAGGACATTGGGTTGACCTGAACATTTCAGCTGTCCCACTGAACCAGTTTGTCCTGATGTATGAAATAGTAGTGGTATTTTGTATTCGTCTGGCTTCGACTGGTCCAGTCTGGTCTGGGTGAAGATAAAATGAGCTTGGCTCTGTTTAGTTATGGGGAGGGTCCTCCAGCCCAGCCAGGAAAACAGCACTTACTAAGGCCTCTGTCTGTGTTATTGTAGGGCTACAGGAAGAAAGGGGGAGATGAGGGGAGAGGAAGGAGAGGGATGAGGAGAGAATGCAGAAGGAGAGAGCGAGGAGGTTCTGGAGAGGGAGACGAGAGCACATAGTAAAGAGGAATGGATGAGAGTTGTTGTCAAAGGCTGAAGGATAGAGAGTTGAGGATGTGGCAGAAATGATCGTAGTGATAGAAACCAGGAGAGGGTAAGAGGAAGAAGACAGGAAATGCATGACAGTAAGATTATACTGGAAACTGAGGAAATGCCTAAAAGTAAAGAGCACCTTGTTTTCATACTCTCTGTCTCCTCTTATTTAAGTAAAATGAATGATTACTTCTTCCACCACTAATCTTGTGAATTGGATTATTACATTTAGAAAAACCTGCAGCAAAGTAGTAACAGTACAGTAAAAACAAAATACGCAGTAGTGACAGAACAATGGCATGTGGCTGAAATGAGATGCAACATTAATTCTTTGAACAAAGGTAAAACATTCAAGAGGACACTTAATTCAAATAACTTTTGTTTGATCGAACTGGAATAAAGTTAAACTTAAACATATTATTTATGGATGGCTTAAATGGTATTTTGGCCTTGCAAGCTGTGATTTACATGAGACATACACATAATACATAATATAAAGCATGAAGATAATTTTTTCTTACCTTAATTTTGACACATTGCACTAATCATACAGCATCATTGCAGCCCATGCTCAAGATCCCTGTAGAACTCACAAATTTACCTGCAATTTGTGAGTGACAATCATTCGTCAGTATTAGTAGTAATCATTTGTGAGAAGTATTAGTAGCACTAAAGACAATGCATTAATCTGTGTGTAAGCAGTGCTTTTAATCACTCTGTGAATTCTGGTGTTTCTAAGTTACTAATAAACCGTCTATAATTTCTGTTTTCATGCAATGATACTTTCACAATCTAACTTCCTGTTTAAAATCAACATGAACATATACTTATACTTATATATTTTGGAGCTGTCTATGCCACTTTTGGATCGACTGATCCTTCAACATCTATCCAGCTGATCACCATGAAATCACAGTGATCCAATATCTGTTCAACACATTACATTATCCACAGCTATTCATACGTTCCAGAGATATACAAGTTAAGCAGAAGAAGTACAGCCTCACCACTTACACCATAGAGTTGAATGAGTCCTTATTTGACACAGTATCAACAATAATTACAATTTTTTTTTAATTTAAAACTGGAATTTTACATTACAGTACAGAAGGTTCTGTTTTCAGGATCACTCAGTGTATGTGATGAATATAGTTTTATTTTATACATAGTAAGGCCTATTACTTTTGCTAACCTGCACTAACCACTAATTGATATTTCTCAACAGAAAAATCTCAACAAAAAAATATTTGAAGGTTGAAAAGGTGCTACAGTATTGACTGT